AAAACTTAAGTCGATATTTACTTTAATCAATATTATTTTGAATTGATTTATAATCACCACATTTTACACTCAAACTCATGACGTGTCGAAAACAAACCATAAGATTAACTTTAAACCACAGTCTAATTTGCTAATGACGATATGAACACGACTGCCATCTGAGATCGTGACACCGATGCCATGCTTATTATATGCCTACGTATACATGGAACTAGTTTTTAGGTTCGGCTACCAAAAGACCAACATGGGATTAGGACGGCTTGCTTTTTAGAGGCGGATCTGTTAGTGAATCATCTTTTCTGAATGCACTCAAACTGACAACATACAGTTTTGTACGACATGATATTGCTATTATTTCCAAGCGGTTACGTGACCTTTATGGAATAACATTTCAAAAATATATAAGGCGAAATGTCACAACAAACCCGAGTGTTTTTAGTGATCTGTTAATAGGCAAGAGAAAACATGCAATTGTTGCCATAAGCATACAGCCGAGCTGTATAAAAATAATGGCGGTTCTGTGATCAATTATACATCAGGGATAAAAAAAGTTGCGGGAGATGCGAATGGATTGGAGATTTGTTGAGAGGACTAAGAGCAAAGGAGGTGAACATACTGTACGTACTGGTATGTGTGCGTTTTGGCTATTAACGCATAATGTATAAGTATATTGCAACTTTTACAGGCGCGTGTGTGTGTGTGTGTGAGAGAGAGAGAGATGTGAGAGAGAGAGAGAGAGAGAGAGAGAGAGAGAGCGTGTGTGTGTGTGTGTGTGTGAGAGAGAGAGAGATGAGAGAGAGAGAGAGAGAGAGAGAGAGAGAGAGAGCGTGTGTGTGTGTGTGTGTGTGTGTGTGTGAGAGAGAGAGAGAGAGAGAGAGAGAGAGAGAGAGAGANAGGAAGATTAAAGATTGGATAATGGGAGAGGGGGTGTGTGTGTGTGTGTGTGTGTGTGTGTGAGAGAGAGAGAGAGAGAGAGAGAGAGAGAGAGAGAGAGCAGTAACAACTTAAACCGAATGCGCTATAAGCTGTGTCAGTGATGTATCACCTAACGTTAAAACACCATGTATTCCATGGAAACAAGTGCTTTAAATGTACCCCATTTATTTTCATTCCATTATATCATTTCAGACAAGCATCAATTAGTTTAGGGTAACAGGAGGCCAAGGCGTGCACAAGGGATAGAAGATAGACTGGGGTTATGAGCCGACGAGGGCAACACTTGGCAGCGGTGAGTGCTCCCCCCCCCCCCCCCCCCCCAGGGCCGGATTTAAGGGGCTGTCAGGGGGGTCCTGACCCCCCACCCCCCATTCGGTGTCCGGAAGAAAAATCACACCAGTATTCCCCTCTTGATATTAGAATTTTGAAGAGCTGAATCATGTAGTTCTAAACTGCACCAAATGGCACAGTTTGCTCTCCAAAACACCGAACCACACACCAAGGGTTGGCAATGCATCCGAGGCCCGGTATTCTTAAGAAAAATACTGGACCCACCTCTTCCAATAATCCTGGATCCGCCCCTGCACCCCACCCCACCCCAACCCACCCCCTCCGCGACACGGGCTTCTTCCAGATGAAAAGATAAAGTGGAGCCTTCTGGAAGATGATTCTCTACATACAAGAAAAAATTGGGACATGATTTAAATGTAGTGATGCTGGTCGAAAGGGGAGGGGGGGGTGAAGGGTCTAGAAACCCCCTGTATTACACCACAAACCCCACTCAACCCCCACCCCACATACCTCCTTCAATAACATATCTTTCCGTATCAGTAAAATGTTCTGAGGCCTTTATTTCATGTAGTATGCAGCAATATCGAGTGAAAAAAATCATTGGGAGAGGGAAGTAGAAAAAACGTCATTTGGGGAGGGGTTGCGAAAAGTTAAGGTCTACTCCCTATTAACATCCCAAGTGCACTGATAGTCACTATCATATCTGAAATAGTGTGACTATTCATGTAACTTGGCTGTCTTTATATGACTATAAATCAGTGTAGACCTTTTTAATGAACAGACGCTTTCATACACTGTCTGATCTGTCAAAGCGCAGTTTATGAATTGATTCTAGAAATTATCGTCATAAGCCATTTTTATGTCCCGCTACAAGAGTCTACTATTGATTTCGTCGCTGAAATGTTCTGGATATCTAAGCCCAATGTGTTAAATCCTTTGTCTTTACAGACATACAGCAGATTATAAATATAATCTGAAAGGCCTATGGAAATCACGTTTTATGTTATGTATGTTGAATTGAATATTCAGCGGTTCTGCACAGTTACCTGATATTGCCAGTGCGCTAAAACGGAACAATTTCTTTCATTATGTATGAAAATAGAACCTTTCAGAACTCCCTACAAAGAAAACGCACTGTGCTTATGAATTTTATATAACCGCCATCGTTTGATTTATCCCTTGTATGTCTCCAGGATCCCCACTACCAGATGTCGCGCTCGCAAGAAAAGCTGGAGCAGCAGCAGGCCATTGTACAGCAGCTCCGCCTGGAGGCGAGTCTAGGGAGGCTGCCAGTTTCTAGATGTATAGAGGAACTAAAGGCGCATTGTCTCCAGCACCAAACACGCGACATTCTGATCACAGGGTTTGCCGACCAAAAAGAAAACCCATTTGCAAAGGGCAAAAATAAAGCGTGTGTTATTCTATGATCCCGTGGCAGACGCCATTACCTTGAACAAACGACGAATTTAGTGTCGAAATTAAAATCACAAACTAAGCATGCGCTGTCCAGAAAGGATAAATAGACTGAAAGCCAGCTTCCATCTGGTTTAAATCGTGACTGGAAAGAATAACAGATCCTGTTTCCGAATGACGCACGGATGCATATTGAAAATTTACTGTTGAGGTTCCCAACTTTGTCATACTTTTTTTTTATCAGTACAGTTCTATTAATTATTATTTTATTTTATGTCTTAAAGATCTACTAATACAGTCCGCTATTTTTAAAAGGTGACATAATCCTACTGTTTTAGATGTGTTTTATATACGACATAGGCCTATTAATGTTGGACTATCGACATTATATACACTGCAAAAAACGACCCATGACTCATAATACGCTGCATAGGTTGTGAATGTAAAGTGTGAAGGTAATAGTCTTCAATACTCCTTTGCATAAAGTGCATTGACTTTAATCTTATAATATTTAAAGTACTGATATAATTTTGATATATTAATGAAATAAAGGAGAAAACCACGCACTGGAACGTTATTCAAGTGAAACCACAAAACATACTGTAGTATTGACTTACACACTGTGTTTAAATATGTTATAGCAATATTTATAAATGAGTTTTCTGATACCAAAGATTCTGGATTCGCTAGTGTGAAATAATTTGAAAGGACATTTTATGATTGAAATAACTGGGGGAGTGGACAGATACTTGAATCTGTAAACAATCTTCTGTGCTAAATGCCTGATACCAGACCACACAACTACCTAATTTCAGCCGCACAAGAATGTAAGGAACTTTCAGTGACCCAATGGCATATAAAGAGGGACTCGCAGCAGCGCATGCTCCCCCCCCCCCCCACTCCACCCCAAGCTATCCCTGTTCCCCCTGTGGTAAAATCAGGTTCGCAAATGTGATTGTATAGCGATGGCAGAAGGGACACACACACACACACANTTTTCTGATACCAAAGATTCTGGATTCGCTAGTGTGAAATAATTTGAAAGGACATTTTATGATTGAAATAACTGGGGGAGTGGACAGATACTTGAATCTGTAAACAATCTTCTGTGCTAAATGCCTGATACCAGACCACACAACTACCTAATTTCAGCCGCACAAGAATGTAAGGAACTTTCAGTGACCCAATGGCATATAAAGAGGGACTCGCAGCAGCGCATGCTCCCCCCCCCCCCCACTCCACCCCAAGCTATCCCTGTTCCCCCTGTGGTAAAATCAGGTTCGCAAATGTGATTGTATAGCGATGGCAGAAGGGACACACACACACACACACACACACAGAGAGAGAGAGAGAGAGAGATAGCATACTGAAAGTAGACATTTTCTATCTCGTGGAGTAATAACAAACCATAAGGAAAATTTAAGAAAATAAGAGACCCGACTTTTATCGAGGGGAGGGGGCTCGAATTATAAAAACGCACAGTTTATCTTGAAAACTCAGTCAGGGTGTCTCGACTGTACCCCCCGACCCCCCCCCCCCCCCAAGGACCAATAAATCTGGCACTCGAATAATAGACGTCAGTTCCCAGTGAAGTCTTATCCCCATGACGCTTTCTATATATTCTATATTTCCGACATTTGCAAGATACATGTAACTTTCATGCAGCAGTCTTCACAACACCAAGGGAACATTTGGACTAGTTGTCACTCACAGAGTTTCCTCATGTCATACGGGCACTAGCTAGCTGCTTTCAATAAAATATACAACTTTCAATAAGATATAGAACGCCCTGTGTTTATACAATGGTAGATGCCATACGGCGTAGCAGTAACACCATTCTCTGCTTGTCTTGATAGTTTGTTTTATAAAACGTTGAGATTTACAGACCTTCCCCAGCAAACCCAGAATATTATTGAGGCGTTACCAAAACGTTACCAGAACGTCATAACGTTACCTGAACGTCATCTTAACATATTAATATCGTTCTGTGATTGCTGGGTTGTTTTATCATGCAAATGCTGACATGCTTCAAAATCTTTTATCCTATATTTATGTATTAGTATACCAGCAGAACGCTGATTTTGTTAAAGATACACTTTACACCATTAAATAACAAAAATAATCATTATAGTCTTTGAAATTTTGGCAATTTCCCCTTTGACACTAAAGAGCAAGATGGTATGGATACATGTATAAAGACATTGCAAGTATATTATCACGTACATGTATCCGCCACTGAGGTACATGGCAATGTATTTTATTGTATATTATGGTATGTATGGTAATGCATAGTGTGGATCCTCCTCAGCAACATCAAGTGCAACAACGGTAAAAGAGATGTATCCCAAAACCATTTATTGGCCGATAAGGAACAGTTTTTAGATGAGTAACAAATCAAAAATGATGTTCACAAAGTGCAAATATATTAAAATACACAAAGTGCAACGAGGAATAACGAAATAAAGTGAGAGCACTTGCTTCCAGTGTAACTATAAAAACATGTTACAAATTGTTTCTACTAATAAAAACAACATTTTTAAGAGGTAAAGCTGGTTCGAACAACATGTATAAAGGCCTTTACAAAGCAATTTCCTTCAATAAATAAAACATGACGTGTCCCTATAACTTAACTGTTAACATTCTTGTATCTAATATTTGAACAGGTACTTCAAGATTCACTTACTGTTCTATTGGTCCGAAGAAGCGTTAATCATTTTCCAAAACATTAAAAAACCATATATAGAAATACAAATATACAGACACAGAAAGTTCACGCTCTATATACAAGCCGTATGTTGTTACACATGGAACAGTCAATGAAAATTCTTCAATATCTTATCTTTGTATCGTAAAGCAGCATCATGAACTTTAAAGCACACGTTACCTATTTTTATCTCGCGTTAATCAAATAATTTATCCCGTTAAAATACACGTATACACATATTCATATAAATTGCAAAAAAAGATTTATAAAAATCTGATGGCTAATATTTTAAAATAATATTTCATTTTTTTATTATTTTGTTATGTTAAGCCCTGGATGGCAATAACAGTATTATATTAGTTTCTATGTTAGTCGTCGACGGAATTCTCTTCAAACAGTGTTTTTATTACTTTCATTTGGCATTAAATATATTTCAAGGATTCCGCCGATGTTTTTAGTAATGTCTCGTATGGCACACTGCGAAAAGGAACGCTGCGTCATTTCCTATCACCGAATATTGTCGCATTCGTAGTCGCCTTTCACTATTAATCCCGGTCTGTTGGCATCTTTAACAGTAAGAATTAATCCCCAATGTTTACTTTTTGGCGCTTACACTTCCATTGGGGACCTTACTAGCCTTAACCGCTGATCTGAACGCGTTGAGAGCCTTCATTGGCTTTAACAACTTCTTCTTCATATTTTCCATTTTTTCCACGACGATCTTATTCTCAGCGTCTATGTCTAATTTACTGGGGTCGTCCACCTCGTGGGCTTTAACGAACCCCCTCATAATGGCGTCAGCCACGTAGATCTTCTCTCCAGTGACATTGTTAACATAGGACCCCGTGTCCCGGTCCAGGAGACCATGGTCAACTGCCTCTTGGAATGAGACACGTGCCTTCCGCCGCTGGTCCACGACAGCGTGGATAGCGTAGGTCTTTGTGGTTACATCGGCTTCCACGTTTTCGTCAAACTTGACCAGGAGTAGCCCAGCGTCTATAGCGTCTGATAAGGTCATTTCTTGCTTGGTCACCGGGTGGACGTACACTCCCCGTGACTCGTTGAGTAACCCCTGTTCCAAGGCGACAGCAACGCTGATTTCGGCTCCCGTTTTAGGATTGACCGCACCGACGATGGAGTAAGGTTTGTTTTGTCTCTCGGTTTTTATGGTGATAACTCCTATGGATTTCTTCTTCTCTTTACTCCTCTTCGCTGTAGCAAACTCCACCTGAATCAGCCCTTCGTTCATGGCTTGAGGGATGGGCATGGAATCGCCTGTAACTTTATTGACGTAACATCCGGTCTCCTGGTTGATGACGCCCATGCCAATCGCCTGCTGCATACTGATCACGTTACCGGAAACTGGGTCCGTAACCCCCTTGATGATGAACTTCCGCTGCTCCTCCTGCTCCGATTCTACATACTGTTGAGTCTCGGCTTTTCTCTCTTCGGTGCTAAGGCTGAGATCGGCGTCCAGGACGTCCACGGGTTTGAGGGACTGCTTGGGGGTCTCGTGGATCACGGATATTTCCTCGCTCTTCTCGATGTCGTCAACGGTAATTTCAGTCTGCCAGAATCTAGTTAAGGAAACGGTAATAGGATATTACAGGAACAGGAAAATGTTATAAAACTGCACCTGTACTTCTCTACAAAAATGTTGACAGAATTCACATGGTTTATGCTTTTCTAGTACTGGCTCACGGCGAAAAATAATCCTAAACTAGCATCACTTATTGCGAAAGGAAAACTTTGAAAATTAAAAATCAAAATTTTCAAAAATTCGCGGTTCAATGATAATGATTTAGAATCAATATCTACACACCTCGCCTCACCCAGCAAACACTGAACGTTTTATAACTTAACCATAACGTTTTCTTAACGTTTTTTGGTTAAACAAACGTTATGGTAACGTTATAATAACCTTCTGCCTTTGGTGCCCCCCCCCCCCCACTACTCTGTATATACTCACTTGACGAAATGTGCCGTAGAGATAAATCTAAGCTGTTCCCACTTGTCTACAATCAACATGAAATGAGGCTGGCGAAGAGTCTCCAGTATCACTTTGTACGTCTGCCAGTAGATCCAGAAGTCCTGATATGATAACAGAAAAATTATGCATTACTTGTCTGGACAAATATGACGAAAAATGTGTTGTTCACGTGACAGATCAACAGATTCCTTGATTCCAATGCAGGCAATGTTATTCTAATTTTTCCTAACCTACAGTCAGGTTGTTGGAATGTTAAAAAATCAAAAATATCAATATTAAATATGCACCTATTTATCGGTTATTATTATTATTTACTTTATTTTTATGCACAAACTAGCTCTTGTGACAGGAAAAGCAGTCCTAGGAATGGAAGTATCGGAGTATGGGACGAACGCTACCTGTGCAAACCAAGAGGGGACGGACTACAATTCTTAGCGGACTACCATCATTTCTTTTCACTTTGCAACTAACTAACTAGTTTATGAATATTCATACCTCGTATTTTCTCATTAGGTCTTCCAAAGTCCCGATCTGTACAACTATAGTGGTAACCACTGCTTCGTCTAAATATAACATAAAATAAACACATCAAAACTCATTTAAAAATCCATAAAAGCACATTGCATTAATTATGCAAAACGGTGTTCATAAGTGCATATCTCTAGAACCCTACTGGTATGCGGGTATAATGTAGAAATGATATGCCTTGAAAAAGCGGACTATTGTCATAGGATCCAGCTGAATCCGTTTTGAGAGAGAGAGAGAGAGAGAGAGAGAGAGAGAGAGAGAGACCTTCAATGTCCACCACCGGTTCCTGGCGTAGAATAATCCTCAGCCTTCCAAATCGTTCCAGAAGCTCCTCGAATTGTGGGTAATCTTTCCAGTGCTTCCCCAAAGTCTCTTCTATAAGTGCCATTATTTTGAGAAGCATGTCTTTCTTGCCATTAGGTAACGACCTAAGTAGAGCGATCTACAAATAAATTATGACACTGAATGAACTTAAGATAGATGCATATCGAGTACATGTGTAAAAGGCTATCATTTAAACCGGCATCAGTTTTCTCAATAAAAGAGTCATTTGGTAAGGCTGTTGAAGAAGCAAAAAAAGATATGCTCACAAGAAAACCATTGTAAATATACTGTCGTGAAAGTTAATGTACGAGATCGAGAGGTACTTTTATTTTTGAAATTATTTTCTATGTGGTGAAACTGAAAGCCTGCAAGCACTAGTGTAAGCTCTTATATTATCTATTAGACTCGTTTTCGTCTACGATCTTCGCAGTATTCCTCTGCTGCACTACGTTTTATGCTTCTATATATACTAAGATGTTTCAGCTATGAAAGCATTCTGTCACGTTTCAATTAATTCAGTTAACTAGAAACAGATTTTCAACAGTGCCGCTATAAAGACAGGCGACTGTTAAAACCTGAGATAAAATTTCAATCCGATTGGAAGAATGAGAGCCATGCTCAAGAGGTTTCTTTGAAGTGTTAGCAACGATCAAGTGAACACTGCAACAAAGTATTGAGTATGCAATTCATTTAGATGACGTCATGCGCCTTAAATGAAATCACACTCACACGGTGCATGCGATTATTATAAGACGTACTACGTGCAAATTGTGAGGAATATGTACCATTTAAAAGGAGAATCATAGAAATGAGAAAGTCGCCAGGACAGCAGTGGTCCATCTGTTCACTCAAAATGTCGTAAAATATGTTGTCACGACACTCGGCATTAGCGACGTTCTGGTTGCTATGACGTCAACATAGTGGGGCGGAAATGGTTTATTTTTATCAACTCGGGGATACTAACGTACATAACGTGCTCAATGCGAAACAAATAATATGATCTGTGGTTACAATATAAAGAAGATTTTGCAGATAAGAATCATTCACAGACAAACAATATGAGAAAGAGATTAATAAAAATGATCAGTTGGGCTGTATCCTGGGTTTCAAAGTAATTTGATCTCGCTTTTTTTTTTTTTTTTTTTTTTTTGTGAAAAATGCGGAAAATGGTGAGTTATGAGTTATGTAAATTCGACGGGTTAGTATTATAAATCTTTCAAGAATAAAGTAGACGCAGTTCGGTGCAAAGATTGATATAAAGATATATGCGCAATCACACAATAATACAGTCCATTCTGTTGTATATGAGAAAACATAGACATAACATGCATTTCAAACGACATCATTGAACACAAAATGGGGTACAGCAGTAACACAACACGGGGTTGGTGGGAAAGGGGCGGGGATCCGTCACAACATACTTTACCTGTTGCCGCTCTTCTGTACTAAAAGGCTGAAATAAACAGGCCAGGCCAAACGATATATACATTAAATGGGGTAACTGAAGCAACAAAAGGTGCACAGACAAATGTATGCATTTCCCTTTTCTCTCTTCTTTTCCTCTTAATATAATTTCTATTAAGGTGACATTATACTGAAGTATACATTTTACAGAACAGAGAAGCTTTCACACGACCATGCTGACTTCAAAATATACAGGTGCTTATTTATGCTGTACGATGCTAATATTGATAAAACAGATAATCGACCAATAAATATAATCCAACATTCTAGTTGCAAGGCGATGTATCCAGTTATGTCAACCAAGTAGCTCAATTTTCATATAAATAATAAAGCACCGAAAAGAGGATGAAAAAATATGTCAGCATGTACCGAGTACTACATGTATAGTATGCATTCACGCTTTACAAAACGTTTTCAATTATGAAGCACAATAAGGGCGTGTACTCATATAAACTCATATAGTCTCTTTTATCTTCACAAACATGCTGCCAAATAGTGCAGTTGCTTCCGAGAATATCTGCAGCGCCATGTTCTTCCAACCAAAGCGATGACAGCCAATGCCTTTCACTTAACATCACACTCATTTATCCATTTCCAAAATCCCTCTCCCCTTCTTACAAGACCAAACTCACACGAATAATCATTTCCAAGCAATATACCTTCATATTTGCACTTTTCAAAAGTTTACAACGCACTTCATGCTTTAAAAGTAATAGACTAAATGAAAAAAAATGGTAATGAAAAATTCAAAATGCCAGGTTGTACTTAAAAGACCCTCGTCTCTCGAGATTTTGTGAGATCAAGGAATCCAATGGGAAAACAGCAACATTTCGCTTCATCAAGCATACTAGTAAGACCTAAATAACCAGCCTTAATCTTGACGACAGGTTTAGAGCATATATTGCAGCACATTATGGGTCATAAGGTCAAGGTCAGGTGCTGGGTCAAGGTCACTCACCTCCTCAGTACTCCAATCTCTAAAAACTAGTTGCATGAGAGTGATCATCTGTTTTCCTAGTCTCTTCACACACTGTGTCCAAATGGCCAGCAACTGTAACCGTAATCTGAAATCAAAGTATTTTCATCTTCAATAAACCTTTTTTGTACAATATATAACAATTAATCAACAGTTATATCAACCGGTACACTGTTTCTAGTCCTTTGTATTGATGGTTCATCATAGCAGGTGAAAGAAATAAAGACGGAAATGAAGACGCTGAGTTCGACGGTTTTAATTGTCTCTGGCTTACCATGTGTATTTTATCACACAGTTACCTTGTTGCTGCCTCTACTGCGTCTACGTCCATTGGTGGTATCAGAACACACACTGCAGGTATAAACAGCTCTGGACCCTTCTTAGTTTTTACCTGTCAAAATATAATATAATATAATATAATATAATATAATATAATATAATATAATAGGGTTTACCTTGGAGATATGGGGTGCAATGCAGAATTTCTTTGGTGTTTTTTACAGGCCCAATGCACATAGTAAGCTGTTTAACTTTCTCTAAGGAAAGCTGAAAAAGAGTTACAATTATGTTTTGGATTTTGTTTTCAATCGCTATTTTACCTTCCACTTTGTTGGATCTGTGTTGTCTAAAAGTGTCAGATCTTCTCCGTCCTGTATCTGGACCTGAAATGAACAATGATGCATTGTACATGTAGCATTTTCAATGTGTAGATGGAACTTTTGGGTATTACTTATCTTTTCCAAATCATCAACGATACACTTTTTGGTAAACAAATATTGTAATGGAGCGGCCATAAAAAGCCGTGAAACTCGAAAAACTAATTGCATGCTATTTGAAATAATTTTTGATTTGCGGTTCATCCCCGCTTCTTATTTTTATCTTTTGCTTGGTTCTTCGCGTTGTGTGAGCAGGTTCAACTTTTTTTCTCATAATTGGTACTTACGCCATTTGCCTTGTATGCACAGAGCGCTCTAACTGGTTTAGGATCTTTTAAAGCTTGCGTCCTCATTTTAACAGGGACAATGTCTTTACTTTTGTCGTATAAATCATCCACACGGGCCTGCCACTGTAAATAGGCTTGGAGCGTCTCCTGTAAAAGAGGAAATGATTTAATAGAATATTTAGCAGTATTTTTTTCATTGTTTATTGTTCTTTCACTGACCTGCACTTTATAGTGCATCCAAGAAATTTCACAAAAGTATTGACCAATTCAAAGGATTTTTTTCCGTGCTCCTTGAGCATGCGCATCGCACAATGTGTGCTTAAAGAAACACGATATCTTAACAAAAATTCAATTTAAATAGACTTTATCGTAGAAAAAAAGGATTGGCCAATTTGACCGGAAGACTTACCCCTAATTCCTTGAGCATGCGCATTGCACTTTGCCTGTCTCCCTCCATATCTCTGTCTGCAAACTTTTTATAAAGGGTGGCCAGGCAAAGGTTCATCCAGTAATCGCACTCTTCTACTTCATGGTAAAACTGGAATACAAACCGGGTAGAATATTATAATAGAAATGATGCTAGTACAGTAATTGTGATAATGATTTTTTCTCAATACTTGCTTTCTTTTTATCACCACCATAATCATCATCATCATTTTATTATTATTATCATTATTATTATTATTATCAATGGATTGTATATTTCTACTCCGTGGTAAAATGGATTGTTTTGCAGAACCTCATGTTCACCTACGTAAGCATGACATTTCTAGGATTTGTGATTTATTATTACATCAATAAATGAGAAAACGTCCCAATCCATCAACTATAGCTGCATTTGATGCCGATGTGTCGACACCAATATTTGGTAATAATAACAATCAAAGTGATAATAAATAACATCCTGAGCTGAATATGCAATGTTTCAGTGGGGGCTTTTCTTGGGCATATGTGCCTCACCTGGTGGTAGGCGGCGGCGTTTGCCAGGTGGGTGTCCATGCATTTAGCCACAGTCTGGATCCACGCCCAGTTGTTCCGCACCGCGAATATGCAATCCTGGAGTAATAAAAAAATATAAGCAAAAGTTTTCAGTGACGCCAGCTGACAGTTAAGACGAGTTTCCAGTGTCCTTTGAAACTCGGGGCCTGCCAGGGATGATAGCAAAACTGTTCTTTCTCGTTCAGTTCGAAATTTGAGTGCTTTATATATAACAAGTTCAAAGACTGGTATTTGTATATTTATTTTACTGCAGCCCTCATACTATAGTCCTATTCCTTTCACTTTTTCCTCTTTTTTTTTTTTTTTTTTTTATTTTTTTTTTTTTTTTTTTTTTTTTTTTTTTTTTTTTTTTTTTTTTTTTTTTTTTTTTTTTTTTTTTTTTTTTTTTTTTTGAGAGGTGGAAGGGGTATTCTGCTTTATTTGTCCTTACCTGAGCCGCATATGTCGTGGACAGGGAATCCCCCACTGGTGCCCCATTGAGATGCTTAGGTTTGTCTGTGTTTATTTGTCCTTACCTGAGCCGCATATGTCGTGGACAGGGAATCCCCCACTGGTGCCCCATTGAGATGCTTAGGTTTGTCTGTGTTTGCTAGCTGAGTGGCAGTCCTGTCAAATTCTGCACTGAGATTCTGCAAAGGATAACATTTTTGATGAGAAAAATATTTGTACTGAATTGGAATCACGTTCAGAGAGAGCGAAATAAATGTCATTTTTATGTACATTTTCAATAAGAAAGCCAACGTCGTTTATTCAAGTATCAAAAAATTATTCTAAAACATGCTGTATAAGATTCATAACAAAAATTTTCTGGGTACTTTTGTTTTCTGTGAATTTATAAACTTACCGAACAATACTCTTCTAAACTTGAAACTTTTGACAGTGTTTCTAGACAGTGGGTTCTCTTGTCTGCGGTAGCCTAAAAATATATACGTAAATGTATATATAGTAAATTTTACAATAGGAGTACTACTCTAACGTGTGTTTCGTATAATATTATTTATAGACTTACTGCAAATTTATATAAAAATATGTTGCCAGATTATGTTAAAAAGTATTTCTACATGATGTAATGATGTCAAAGGTTACTCCCAGAGAGGAAGTTCATTCAGGTGCATTTATTAAATCATGGTCGCAATAATTATACAGAAGTTTAGAAGCAAAACGGATTGTGTTATGTGAGACAGATGAGCATCGGATTGCGTCAAATCTCAACTACCACAATGCCACCTACCGTCAGTGCAACGTACTGTGCATGAAGCTTTGCATATTCAGATTCAGTGGCATCCTTGAAAAACAACACAATGATGCAATCAATCAAGCAGTTTATAGATAGATGTTATTTTTCTTCACAACACCCAAGACGATCGGAATAGTCACAGGACGTTCTAAATAGTCGCACAGGGCATTAAAACGAGATACAAAAAAGCTATAAGTTGCTCTATTAAAACGCATCGATTTTTGGGACAATCCCTCATAATAAACCGCCTTCTTAGGTGGTTTCATCATGACATAAATACGCCACTGTGCATTCAATAAGGGGATGAGAGAAAAGTTGTGAGGATGGAAAGCGATAGAAGCACTAGCGGCTTGACTTAATGATTTCACTGTTTCTATTGGCGCACCCTTAACGAGTTTTTGGGTGGTCTCAGCGTGAGATAGCCTTTAATCAAACTGGTTTCAACCAGACTAAGGACTAAAAAGGTGATATTTGAGAGAGAGAGAGAGAGAGAAGAAGAAGAAGAAGAAGAAAAAGAAGAAGAAGAAGAAGAACTCACGTTCTCCGCCACAGCATTGCCAATCTGCTCCCTGTATTGTCTGATGGCCGTATTTCTCTTGGCTTGGTCCTCTATGGCCAGTTGGACAGTGGTCATGTTACTGCCCATATCAGCATCGCTCAGGACCTCCTAAAACAATATACACAATTACTTAATACTATACTATTGTATTTTAACTGGGGACCTGTAATATTCATAAACAAAAAAATCGCCCATATAATTGTCTGTGATTTAACACTGCAGTCTTCACAAATGTGTCCCTCCAGCGTAAAAGACGTATTCAGAAGTAACGACCGTCTTGATAAACGTACTTAACGACAGCAGTTTTTTTTCTCCTCGCTGTGTGTAGTGTATTTACCTGTGGTTTCATTCTATCTTTGTATTAAAGCTTTTTTCTTATCGCGCGTCCTCAGTGTTCACCCCAGGCACGAATTAAGCAGTGCCTTTAAAGGCGCGCGTTCTAATGATATGCTATTTAAGGCAGAGCTCTTTTATGAAAGATCTGTCAGTGTCAAGTCACCGCATCAATACAGGATGTGGTTATGTCACTTTACTCGACTCTAGAGTGTTGATTTATTTAATAACTTTCTTGTTTAGCTGGAAGTAGCGTATCTAGGAGATTTGTTTTAATGTCTGACAGTTGCTTTTGACCACAAGCTAGCTGATTATGCTGTGTAAGTTAACTCAGTGGTGGATCAGATCCCCAGGGAGGTGACAGAGGACACGTGCCCCTCCCTTTTCCTTCAGCATAAGGCCTCCCTCCCCCCCCCCCCCACATGTACCACTATGCATAAAAAGTAATTAGAATTACTCACCCGCTCATCCTTAATCCATTGAAGACACCCGTCGACGCCGCGTTGACTCGGCATTCTAGACTGAAAATACAGAAATAAAGAATTACGTTCGCGAGCAAAGGTGCCGTCTCTTTCACAGGTGTCACATGGTAACCAGTTTGTTTATTTCCACAATGAAAACGACCCCGGTGCTATATCGCTTCTCCGATCCTCTTACACACCTTGATGCAGCATCTGTCATCATCACGCAATACAAATAAGATCTAGTTTTGAAGTTCTACGTCTCCTTAAACAAATCTACTGAGCTTTTTCATTAGTGTCAGGTTTGATTTGTTTGGATGTCAAAGGAAATTCTCTAGACGAGATGACAGTAAAAAAGTTCAAACAATGACATAAGGCAACCCTTTTAAAACAAGTCACCTTTACTGTGACAAACTCTTTAATAGGGCTGTGATCTAAATTTAATGAAAAATAACTAACAGCTCAATATATGCCCACAAAAACTTACTAGTAACTTCATGCATGAACGCTTGCCCCGATCCTTAACCTCAAAGAAACATTAAGTTCTATTCCAAGTTTATTTTATTTTTTGTTCAAAAGTTTTCTATTCTGTGTGTAGGGAGAGTCAATAAAAGTGCAACTGCGTGACTGCCTCAGGGACATTTCCACTGACTATAGAGGATTGCGTTCAGTTACTATCATGGAATGAATCATACATGTTGAGTGTGTTTTGAAGTCCAGAGAGTTGATCTGAGAGAAGCACGGTCTTACCGTACATGGTTCGGTGTTGAAACTACTGACTTATATTTATACACGTGCCTTATTACTCATGCAAAGTTTGTATATGCTCTCTCTCTCTCTCTCTCACACACACACACAGAGAGAGAGAGAGAGAGAGAGAGAGGGGAAAGGATGCAAGAGCAAATGAGAAAGAAAATGGAATGGGAATGATGAAAGGGGGAGGGGGAAAGATTTGATCTTCAAAGAATAAGTTTTACAAAGTATCATTACGTCTGTCATAAACATTTCGGACAACTATAATTATTTTACGAAGTCCGACCTCTGTCCCTTTTTATATTATGTATTATACATTTGCCGCTACCACGATACTAAACATACATTCTATTTCGTATGTCATTCCCATGCTAAATAATTGTAGTATGATACTTAATCCTTAAAAAATATCAGATTCAGCAGTTTGGGCACATTGCGTGTATTTCTGCAAACCACAACGCATTCACTCTAAGAGAACCACAAGTATGCCAACAAAAATATTAATTTAGACCCGTCTTCCCTTTGAAAGCATCCAACAAGCCTATGGAATTTTTTTAGATATTTGGTCCATCCAAAAGAAAGATCATTAAGGTGTAATTCACCGACTACGAACATGAAGAGATTGAAAAGCAGAGAACTCATTAATTGAAGAATCATGATGAATCTGATGGATGTATTAATTGAAAAAAAATTGCGATAACCTTACCTTATCTCCTGAACAGTGAATAACTTAATCAATATTCAACCACAATTTTTCCTGGCTATATCCTCTGTTTTAACACCTTGTCTACTCTCGAATATATCTACGTGTTAACGATTCCTTTTACTAGTAGACCTGCATACTGCACAGAGGCATACAGTTTACGATGAATTAACCACCCCAGTATATAAAACTGGGTCTTTGATTACATTCACACTCGCAGTGCAAACTGCTGGAAGCTAATGAAGAGCAAAAACAGACAACTGAATACAAATGATGTTTTTTCACTCCGACACGAAAAAGGAGGGCGTGGGGAGGTGATGCGGTTAACCGCGGAGGAATTTCCTGTGGCTACTATTCACATTTGGGACTTCATTTAGTCTTTGATTAAAAGGCTGCACCGCAAGTGGTTTGTTTTGCCGGAATTCTCAGATGTGAGAGTGAATCTTTCAGAGAGTTTCCTATATAAATTCCTTATCCGACTGATGTAAAAACAATTGTCTGATCAGTATGAGTGTGTCGGGGGAAGGGGGTGCATAGCAGGTCCTTTCATAATCCATTACCCCTTTAACCCTAAAAACTTGATAACAAACGAAACGCCATAAGCCCAAGAAATTGTTCCATCCCTGTCCATCACATATTATAGCGGTAAAATTCTCCTCGTCTACTGTTTTATAAACCCATTTTCATCTAAGCTCCCCAACCTTACGTCCTGGTTCGTTCCGCCAGCGTATATTCATAAGAACACATAATTCCACCATTATTTTTCTTCGAAAAACCTTTTGACTAAATTAAAAGATTTTTTTTCTCGTTTGTCCTGGTCTCAGCTCAGGTCTTATTAATGTAGCTAATTTAATATGGGCGAATACTTTACCTAGAAGGTTGTCACTTTTAAGAGCAGTAGATTGCCATGTTTTCAGGTACATTTACCAGACGACAGTCAAAGATTCATTTTATTTATTTATTTATTTATTTATTTATTTATTTATTTATTTATTTATTTATTTTTGGGGAGAGAGAGAGAGAGAGAGACTGACACAAGTAGTCCACTAAGATGCACTGAGAGCGCGTCTCCAGGGATCTTTCATTTCCTCTGACGTGTGAGGAGCGACATTAATGAGAGTCTGACTAATAGCGGTAATCGACAGTTGGGTTGACTGGATAATTTCTAGGAATTTCCTTTCCTCGGAACCCGTTCACACATGCATCAACAAAACTGGTCCTGGCGCGTTCCTATTGACGCCATCGATCGACTGTACATGCAGTAACTAGACAGTCGTCAGTCCAGCAGCAGGTCACCTTCCCAGTTCACACTTCATTCATTAAGGTGAATCTCCGCTGAGGTGGTGACCATTTCATCACTGCTTTCGTCTTAAAACCGTCAGACGGGTCTCTCTCTCTCAAAGCTATATTTTAACCTGTGTGAGCGGGAATTAGAGACTAGCAGTAAGAAAGAAAACATTTAGCATAAAGCCCTGTGGGAATTATACAATTCTGATCAATCATACGCGATGGCATTCCGTGCAATGATGAAATGATAATAAAGAGGATCACCTCAATATTATAGTATTAGGACAGACAGGTCGTTTGTCTGATTCATGGATAATACAGACAAAAAAACACTGAAGTAGAAAAATCTTTCAAAACAAAAGAAATCCAAAATTAGTGTCTGATATGCATTCAAATGAGTTGCGAGAAAGCGGAATGTTGCTCACACGTAAAAAATGCAGTTTCTAGGTTTTGAAATTATGAGGGGCCTATTGGGTATTTTCATTACCCGCGAAGCCTTTCTTTATCACCCGAGATGCGTGAAATGATCATATTTTCCGTGAAGCCCACCTTGACTCGAGAATACGACTCTTCTCTTTGGCCTTCGTAAAACAAAGTCATTATGCCCGGGAAATCGTCATTTTCAGGATTTTCGAAAGTGGTATTTGAATAAAATTTTATTTACTGTGCTTTGATGATTGATGATTGATGATTGATGATTTGATTTCCCGTGAACTGTGATCACCCCCTATCCCCCTAACGGGGCCCTCGCCAATATACATGTAGGCCTACAGTGTACGTAGCATATGGTAACAATATCCTTATATTATTCAGTCACACTTTGGTGCACAGACAAAATGAAACTACATCATATTATCTACAATGGTTCTGAGCACATGTCCGTTAATATTTATCTAAAAGCTTAACTGTACATTGAGAACATGAAAAGGGTAGCTTTGCAAAAACGTTATTAAATAATTACTTATCGTTATCAATACTTAGGCTCAATAACGGGGTTCAGTCCCAATGCTGAAACTTCTATGAAATGAGCGTTTCACATTTACCTCACTCTTTCATTAAATGTTTCCCATCCCCACACTTATACATGTCAAAAAACTTATCAGCACACAAGTCATATCGTATAAAATTTCTAAGAAGCCCCATAACGAGTATAATTAACATTGACGGTTTCGAGATTTAGCATCGAAGAGAAGGAGGGAGGGGCCACAGCTATTACAATAACTGCCTGGCACAATAATAGACGAGGACGATTTCAATAGAATATGTAGGACACGCGGATGAGATATTGCTTGGTTTTATCTCGTTCATTTGGTTATACTGTTGTTTGGAGAGAGAGAGAGAGAGAGAGAGAGAGAGAGAGAGAGAGAGGAGGGGAACACCTGAAAAACTACGGGCGGGGGTGGGGGCGTACGTGCCCGCTATGCCCTCCCTTAGGTGTGTTATGGTACACGTCTATAATGCATCAATTCTACTGTATATTATTTACATAATCAAGTAGGCCTTGAACATCTAGGTGCCACATTGTGTGATGTATTAGATATTGGGTTAACCTAAGGTGAACATGTAAGAGGTATTGCAGTCTTGTATCAATTAGGAGGCAGGCTCATCTTAAATTAAATTAGGCTACAGAATTAAAACACTTAGAAAAATGTTTAAATACCGTATTCATGCTGAGTTGAAAATAATGCAGCATAAAAACTGATGGGAAAGCGCGGTAGGTTATCTTTGGTTGAGTGGTACGACATCAAACTTCATCTTTAATATATACACCCCTTTTCACTATCCGCTGACAAAGAAGCTAATCTTGCTACGACATACGTGTCCCATGTGAGCGCACGCACACACACACACACACACACACACACACACACACACACACACACACACACACACACACTACTGATATGAACCAGGAGGTCCCAGATCTATTAAAAGTCCAAATGGCGTTAACCCGTGGTGTTAATATACTACGGTGTCTGCTTCCCTTCACGACTATTGAATTATTGCATACCTCTTGCAACCGCTACCTAAATTTTAACGTTAAACAGATTATGTAAATCTGACTCAAGCGGATTACCGAGTTGGATTGCCCTTGTATCTTCTCGGGAAATTTCTGTGACAGTCTCTTTTTGTCTTCTCTGGTTACGGAAAGTCTTATCCAGACATCCCTGAGGAAAATGTACAGGTACACCATAGCAAGCAACATAATGCTGGTGTCAGACCAAAAAGATTTAAACAGCGAAATTAAAAACTGAATTATTAATATCAGCCGAGAATGCTCATCGTTGTGTTTTTATCCAGCCGTCGTCAT